GACTGAGCCACCCAGGTGCCCCAGGAAACCAGTTTCTAAAGCCCAAAGCAGTGCCATGAACAGGGTAAGTACCTAATAGTTACCAGGTGACTATTATGAGCAGGATATCTGAGATGAGTTAAATATATTTTTAATTTAATTGAAGAGGTTTTATTCGGTACATATTAGTCCACAGGGTATCAATTATTTCTGTACCAACAGTCTAATCATACTTGAAAAACTTTTGGTAAGAACATTACTCTAGTGGAATAAAATCAATCTCAGGCACTCAGATATTGAGTTATTTATATGAGATATTTAAGGAGAAAGATTCTTGGAATTTGTATTTTATTTCCCAACTCTTTTATAATAAAACTTACCAATCTGGCTGATGAGTTGCCTGAACTGATCAAGGTAGCTTTGTCCCTCTGGGGTAATTCCAAGTTTTCTGATGCCACGGTTGAATTTTTCTGCTCTTTCAAAAGGATACTAAAGAGATAATTTAAAGACTACCTTTATTAATAAAGACCCCTAAAGCATAAAATGCCTATAAAATCAACCATGCTAATACCACTTGCCTTCCTAATTTTGTCATTGTCCTTAAAAAAACCACTCAAATCTAATGACAAAAAATTTACAGCACAAAAACTACCAATGTTCAAGGTCAATATAAATTTCTTTTTGCCATAGCTGAGGAAAATAATTATTAAAGTCACCAAATTTAAGTTTTCCACCACCATTATTAGTCTCCCAACATCCAACTACTCTATTAGATAGACAAACCAATTCCTCCTAGAAACATTTCTTCAGAGATGTCCAACCAAGTTCCTGTGGGTTGAATAGGTATTATATATATAAACATACTCCTTCCCAAATAATACACATTAGCTGAGCTAAAATTTCTAATTGCACCAATAAAAAATGATTTTTCATGTCTCAGCTGATTAAAAGAGTTAGGAAATTACTCATTATATATTAATAGCAAATGGACACAATTCTTACAAACAAGAGAATGATTATTTCTCTGAATATAATTTATTCCAATAAAAAGGAGATAATTAAATTCTCTGATAACTATAATCTATAATTTTATTAGTTATTTTACTAGGAATGTATGCCACAAATCAAATATAAAACCCACCTAATAATCATGTTGGTTCTCTATCCACAAGGCTACAGGCCTCTATACTAGTACCACTTAGAGTTCTCTTCATATTACAAAACTCAGTCCAGAGGTCACGTGAAGGGAAAACGGCATTCTTATAAATTACGGATGGGAATATCAATTGGTACAGTGTTTTTAGGGTGTGTAGCAACATGTATCACAATTTTAAATATTCATATTTTGTGCCCTAGAAATTTCTCTTCAAGCAATTCACCTTTCAGAATTTTAATAGTCTCCAAATTCACAGATAAATATGTAAAGGATGTTACCTGCAGTACTGTTAAGAACACTAAAAAATCAGAAAAACCTAAACATCTGTCAGCTGGAGAAGGTTAAATAAGTTATAGTATACATCTTTACTATCAACTGTTAAAAAGAATGAGGCAGATCTCTATGTAGAGAACTGTGATAAGTATACTGTAAAATAATGTGTGTAGTATTACACCATTTTTGTTAGGAAAAAAAGCAGTACATGTAGATGCAAATAGATATGTTTATCACACAGACATCTAGAAGCATCACATCAGAATGTTAACAGCAACTGCCTCCAGAGATGGAATTGGGAGGAAGAGAAATGAGGGAGATCATTTAGTTTATGCACTCTATATTGTTTAAATGTTTCAAAGTAAGCATGTTTTGCTTCTGCATTACTTAAAATAAAGAAAGAAAAGTTAACACCTGGCTATACCGATCCTTACACTGTGGCCTACAGAGAATGCAAAGAGTAAGATATTATAAGGGGAAATACAAGAAACTTGGAGGTCAGATCTAGGAGACATTATTGTGAAAAATACCTAAAAAAACAAAAAAAAAATGAAAACTCCACTACAGAGTCTCATAATGAACTTCAGCATAAACATCTGCTATACACTCAACAGTTCAGTCAAACTACCTTAAAAAGAATATGTGAAAATACCTTATGATCATTTTGGTCCTTGACTTCCCTGAAAAACCGAATATCTTTAATCAATCGAGATTTGATATGTTCATCATACATAAATTGGCTGAATATATAGAACTTCTTTTTCAAAAACTGGTAGGTGAAATTAACCTATAAAATTAAAATACAAAAAATTGGACAGTTAATATAAAAATTAATCTAAAATCAATGTGACTGAATAACAGTTATCTATAACCTCTGATTTATATGAGTTTTCATAAAGTCTAATATTTATAAAGTCTAATTCACACTGGACATAATAAATGAAGTTTTTTTATTGCTCAAGTTTACAGAAATTTCTATAAGCTCCCTTTAAATATTTTAACTACACAAAAGGGAAAAAAGGGAAAAAAAGGAAAATATTTTCCTAATAGAAGTAAGAGTTATAGTGAGAATCAAAAAACCAGATTCAACACTCTAGTTTTTAAGTAATAAACCACAATCAGAAGTTTCTGATCCTCCATCTGCAAGACTACTTTTTACTAATCTACATGTCTAGAATGATACTGAAGTAAGAATCATGGTGCTCTTTAACTTTCCTGAAGGAAGACATTCAATTATTTATCCAGGAATATTTTGAGCACCTCTTATGTGCAAGGAACGGTCTATCTGCTCTCATGCTAGACATGGTGCTTGTCATCATGTAGTCTATATTCTAGCAGGAGTGACATTTTAAACAATTATATGTTAAATAAATTATTAAATCTCAACTGCAATAATTCATACAATGAGAAGTGCCAGTGCTTTGAGAATAATAAAAGGCCCTGACCTAGATTCAGAAAACCCTGAAAAAGTTGAATTTGAGCTGAGATTAAAGCCATAATAACGTAGAGGATGGGAGTCCTAGAGGATGAAAGCCCTGTACTAGTCTTCGTCTCCTCCACCCTCAAAAACTACTGTTTTGGCAAATATATGCCATTTTTTTTTAAACAGTCTTCATTTACCCAGTTTTAGAAATGGGTGCTTTCTCATAACTTTTCTTGTGGCTTAAACACTGCTTTTTCATTTATTATTTTTTAATTTAAATTCAATTAATGTATAGCGTATTATTAGTTTCAGAGGCAGAGCTCAGTGATTCATCAGTCTTATATAATACCCAGTGCTCCTTACATCATGTGCCCTCCTTAATGTCCATCACCCAGTTACCCCATCCCCCCACCCCCCTCCCCTCCAGCAACCCTCAGTTTGTTTCCTATGGTCAAGCATCTCTTACGGTTTGTCTCCCTCTGATTTCATCTTGTTTCATTTTTCCCTCCCTTCCCCTATGATCCTCAAACACTGCTTTTTCTTGATCTCCTTACTAGTAGTTGTGTTAGCAGAAATAGTCTCTTCTTTATCCTTCCCACTCTTAATAATGGTAACTGCCAGTCTCTGATCTTGTCTCTTCTATACTCACTTAGCCATCACCAGACATCAGGAATGTACATTCACTAGTGTGATCAACTGATAAATGACTGTATCCCATGCTAGAGTATAATCACCATGAGAGCACAAACTGTTTTTCTCACCATAGTGCCCAGCACCGTGCCTCAGGTAAAATACACACACAATTGTATCTATTACATGAATGAGTGAGTATCTAACAGATGAGGTCAAAGAAGAGTTTATTTATCCTGAAAAGTTCAGACATGACCTCTACCAGGTGACTCCTTATTTTAAGTTATAAACTCTGTCTCATTTCTATATTGGTAACCACTAAAACAGAACTCCAATCACATCTCCTATCAGCTCAAGTACTTTAATGGCTTCCCCACCGAATATTAAAATGATCCCTATGTAATTTCCAGTTACATAACTCCTTCTTATTCCCTTACTTTCAAATATGCTTAATAATAGTTTACTATTTAAGCATTCATACTCTTCCTCAAGGAGAAGTTAAGTGCATCCTGAAAACCAGGTAAATTCAAAGACTTCTCTTGTCCGCAGAAGAAAAAATAGCATACAAATTCAAGTGAGTCTCTCAAGTGATAGAAGGCCCACTTCTAAAATTCAAAATATTTTTAGAAAATTTCTACTTTTATGGATATCAAATAATTATTAAGTTCCCCCCCCAAAAAAGAGCATGACTGATATTAAATAAACTGCTATCAATGATTTGCTTGCAAAAGCAACTTTCAAAGAATATCAGACAATCCACACAGATACATATATTTATGTCAATGTGCTCAAATCTCCAATGCTGTTTATAATGATGATCCTGAGATGGTAAGATATTCAAAAATGCCTTTGTATCACTGAGCTTCCATCACATCCAACACAATTTTAGTGCCTTTTTTTTTTTTTAAGATTTTATTTTTAAGTAATCTCTACAGTCAACATGGGGTTCAAACTCACAACCCCAAGATCAAGAGTCACATGCTCCAGCAACTAAGCCAGCCAGGTGCCCCCCCGACATTTTAATTACACCAACCAGAAGATGGAAACTCAGGTATAATATAAACAAGCAGTAGTATATGTTTACCAGAATATTCTATGAGAAAACTATTTGCCAAACTACCAAATTAAACAGGAGTCTATTACCCACCCAAACCCCCCCAAAAAAGTTCTTACTGTTGTATTCATGATTCCTGTGCCATGTGTTCGAATTGAATTAGCAATATGCCGAATATTAATAGTGTTCAAATGTTTGTTATTGCTTGTTCGTTCAATAAAAATCTGCAACAAAACAAACTTATGCTAAGTAACAACACAATCCATAGCAACACTGGTCAGTTACACAAAGAAAATTTTACAATCTATTTTATTAAAGATAATTTAATTGGAAAGTCATTCAAGAAGATAATATAATCAAAGCAAAGGAATAAAAAGATGATCTCTAAACAATTATATTCCACTTTAGTTTTCACTAATGAGAATCAACTCTGCCTCTCAGACTTCCTACTATACATCCACCCACATTTAAAAAGAATTTTAAAACCTACTCACCTGATTGTTGAGATTATAGAGGTATCGAGACACAAATATATGAATATTTCTCATAATTTCCAAAACATCCAGGCCCTACAAAACAACCCACAAAGTTCTATTATTATTGAAGATAGACTTGTATCAATATAGTGACTTACTACCAATATTTTTAAATTACTTTAAAAAACAACTATACAAAAGGTATGACCAAAGGCTAAGGAGCCTTCTAACTGCTATAATCAGGACTATCTCCTTGGGGAAACGTGGCTGCTTGTTCTCTTATTCCTTTTGTAAAGACAAGAAGAGTTATGTTTAAAATTTCAGAGATTCATGACTCAATCATTTCCCCACCATTCTTGAGAATATTTGTTTGTCTTCCCAAGATCTTCTGTATATGTTTTACTAAATAAACTAATGGCCAGATTCTAAAAGGCAGTCAGGATATGTGGTGATATTTATAAAATACATACTGTTTTTCAGGCACTGTGCAAGGTTCTTTATATGTAATTCTCAAAAAAAATGAGGTATTAGTCTTCTAAATTCCACAACTGAGGAAAATGAAGCTAAAGGAGTTCTCCAAGGTCAAACAGCTAGGAAAAGGCAGACCTAGGAATTTTTAGAAAATCGAATTCCAAATCCTTATGCTTCTTTAAATTACACTAGACCACCTTTAACATACAAGTTACCTATGAAGAATCCTTCATTCTTCAGCTATTACTCTTAATGTCTAATGGCATCATATAAATTGTCCCACAGCTTTTCTAACTGGGGCTCAAAGGAGCATCACAACACCCATTAAAGTTTTTATTATCGTTTTTCTCATGTTTCAACCTAAAAATCTGTTTACTTACTTTTTCTCCTACTAGGTTATAAGTACATGAGCTGAAATTGTTTTTGTTTTGTTTTGTTTTGTTTTTAATGTCCCAAAACATAGTTCAGTGCCTGGCATCTTTTCAGTAAATACTAAATGTATAAATGAATGAAAGGATATACAAACTGATCCTAGAAATGCAAAAGGATGGAGGAAAAATTATGATCCTCAAATTTTGGAACTGAATAAATGTTTTTTGATAAATACTATTTTTGGTTTTTCTTAGAAAAAATACATGCAAATTAACTGAAAACTTTAACTTTTGCACTCATGAGATACTACCATATTGTAAATTAGCTCACTGAATTAGCAAAGCCAAATGCTTGTAGGCACTCGTCATTGTAAGAATAAATTTATAATCATATACATTTAACCATTTTTTCCTAAGACATTAAAGCCTATGTTATTTCTACGTTTAAAATCCTTAACTGTGATCTTGACTAAACTTTTTACAATTCTGCACAAGTCACCTCACAATCCCAATGTTTCTGAAACACTGTATCTAAATCTATGCAGATTTCAGATGTTCAACAAAAGGCAGAGTGTAAACAGGAAGCCTGTGGTAAATTATTCATAAAGCAAATTAACACCATCTAATTTTTTATTCTTGTCAAGCATGTAGTTTTTATAGCAAATATTTTGAGATATAAACACATGCTAAATAAAGTAAAAAGAAAAAAAAAGACTGCTTAGAGAAACGCTGTTATGCTATAAACACACTATGCTAAAAACACTTTATACTATACCTGTTCCAAAGTCTGACTAGGAAGATGAGCCTCTGTCATAACCAATCCATAACGCTGGGTAGCTAAATTTCTCATTTCACTGTAAGTGGCCCAGTCATGAAGAGCCACTGTTGTTAGATTGTAGAAAGTCTTGTCTAGGTAGTGAGTTACGTAAGCTACAAAAAAATAATTAATAAAAAATAAAAAATTTTTGATTCATGAAAAGTAAAAAAGCAAGAGAAATGAAACTTTTTGCAAACAACTTGTCTTTGAACATTAAATTTCTTCCTTTAAAATAAGGTACCAGGAAAATAAAAATGAAGAAACAAAAACGAATTAAAGAATAAATGAGTAATACAAAAATACCCTCAAAGTTTTGTTTTTTTGTTCTTTAATAGTTAAGGGCAAACAGATACAGAATATGACTTTAAGAAGGAAAACAGAACACTCACCTCGAATGTCAATGAAACGATTGAAAAATCGAATTGGATTCAAAGAGAAAAAAAGGGCCAGGTCTTTCATGCCAACTTTGAAAGGGTTTCGGTCATCCAGTTTTAAATGAGTGTGCACAGAAAGTCGCAGATCCTTCTCTATTTCCTTGCATAATTTGTCCAGTAAATGCTATGCACAAAGAATTGATACCTTAATTTTTCAAAATGATATTCCAATTGCATTGTTCTTCTAAGGCATCTATGCTTGACCATTAGAGTTTTATAATCAGTGCAATGATGAAAAAATTTGTCAAACTGGTTTAAAAGTCTAAATAAGCTATGGTAAAATATTTTTATTGGCAAAGTGAAAATTACTTTGTTCTCCATTTTATTTTTTTTAAAGATTTTTTATTTTTAAGTAATCTCTACTCCAAATGTGGGGCTTGAACCCACAACCCTGGGATCAAGAGTCACACACTCCACTGACTGAGCCAGGCAGGCGCCCTTGTTCTCCATTTTAAACCAACGATTTTTCTGGGACGCCTGGCTGAATCAGTCAGTTAAGCGTCTGCTTTCAGCTCAGATCATGATCCCTGGGTCCTGGGATCAAGTCCCACATCGGGCTCCTTGCTCAGTGGGGAGCCTGCTTCTTTCTCTGCCTGAAGCTCCCCCTGCTTGTGCTCTCTCTCTGACCAATAAATAAAAATCTTTAAAACAAAATAAACTAAACTGATGATTTTTTGACCAGGGAGCAGTTAGATAAATTCTAAATTTTTATGTTCATTAATACTTAAAACCCTTGAAAAGAACTTCAAAAGCTAATGTCTGATGAGTTCATTACAAGGAACATGAATAAACAATATAAAGTATAACATTTATGGAAACCAGTAGCTAAGAAGGAAAGGTCCTGAGAACTAGCAAGAGAAGAAAAAAAAATTTTTTTTTTCAAAGATTTATTTATTTGACAGAGAGAGACACAGCGAGAGAGGGAACACAAGCAGGGGGAGTGGGAGAGGGAGAAGCAGGCTTTCTGCCGAGCAGGGAGCCCAATGCGGGGCTCGATCCCAGGACCCCAGGATCATGACCTGAGCCGAAGGCAGATGCCTAACGACTGAGCCACCCAGGCGCCCCAAGAGAAGAAATTTTTTAAAAAGCTTCCTTATAGGGGTGCCTGGGTGGCTCAGTCAGTTGGGCATCTGACTCTTGATTTTTGCTTGGGTCATGATCTTGGGGTCATGGGATCAAATGCCATGTTGGGCTCCATGCTCAGCAGGGAGTCTGCTTGGGATCCTCTCACTCACTTTCCATCTGCCCCTCCCACCAAGCGTGCTCTCTAATAAATAAATAAAATCTTTAAAAAAAGCTTCCTTATTATAATAATCATTTTTTTAAAAAATCACAAAATTCATTGCACTAAAGGTAATGAAATTAATCATCTTCTCTGGTCTACCATTAAGTTCTAAATACTGGCCAAACATGTATGTTATTATAAAATACATATAAGAATAGTTAATACAAGAAATTACATAAACTTTTTCACAATTTTATCAAACCTGAATATCGTTTATATTGTGAAGTTTACTCATTTTTAATCTCTCCCTCCATATAACATTGCTAGATGACAATTTAAAGATATCAGTGTTTATAATATGCATTCCATTAAAACAAGAAGGTATATATTACACTGCATTTGAATTATTTGTTATACAAGTAAATCTTTTAAATTTAGGAAATTTAAATAAACAGAAAATTTTAGTCAGTGACGCGCCAAATAATTCAGTAAAATTTCGGTAGTTAAGTTGCAGTAACTGCATTACCATTAGCAGCACTCAATTTTCAAACCAATTTCCAAATTCCTAGTCTGAATTTCTATATAAAAAAATGGGAATTAGGGGCACCTAGGTGGCTGTCAGTTGAGCATCGACTCTTGATTTTGGCTCTGGTGGTGATCTCAGGGTCTTGAGATTGAACCCTGCCTTGGGCTCCGCACTCAGTGTGGAGTATGCTTGTCCCTCTCCATCCCCTGCTTGTGTGCTCTCTCTCTCTCTCTCTCAAAAAAATACATAAAAAATATTTTTTAAAAAATTAGGAATTAAAGACCAATTTAGCACAATAGTGATAGTATAACTAAAAAGAAATCCTTTGTTCTAGACAGTGATTCATAAATTTTATTATGACATATGAATATGAATATATAACATATATGTAAATGAAAGCCTGCTTCAATCCAGGAAGTTTTTCCAAATATTGAAAAGCTTAAAACATGTATTTGGAATGCAATCTCGAATATATTACCTCATTTAAAATTTCCATAATTTCTTTGTCATAGCAATCCAGAAGTATTTCATAGGACTCTAAATGCCTTGCATGCATCATAGCAGGTACACAGTCCCGTAAAGCACTGAACATGTACTAAAAAGAAAATCAGAATGTTCATGAATTTCAAAAAACCAGAGCTCTAATTAAGAAATATCACAAAGGGGAAAAAAAGGACTATCACAAAGGTTAATTATCTATCTTTAAAGACAAAATCTCAATCTGAAGAGTGTTTTTAACATGTCTGTCTTACTTTCCTAAATAAGAGCCAGATTTTATTCTCTAAAGCAGATACTTTAATTCAAAAAAAAATTCACATTTACTTATCCTTTGTCTTGAGCATTCAAATACTTATTTCCGTAAGGAAACAGATCTGAGTAACACAGACCTTGCTGACAAGTAAATGTCAGACTACTGTGACATAAACTAAAATCAAGTGAAATGAGAATGATAGGAATATGAGTAAAAAAGTTAATTCATTAACATTAATATCAAATTTAACTAACTGCTTATTAAATATGCACAGCATTGTAAAAACATTAGCAGTCAATTTTAAAATGATTTATTAAGTCAAATGATTGTATTTAAAACTAATTAGAATGGTTTGTATGGTGACTAAAAATGATGGATTATTTTTTACATTATTCTTCACTTACATGTAATCTGGCTGCATCAACAGCATTTTCATATACATCATCTAAATAAATTGGGAAGACAGCTCGGTGCCAGTATAAAAAACAACAGTCACACTGTGTTTGGACTCTACAATGTAAAGTAGTAATTAGTGGTAGCAAAACTCAAGCACCCCCCCCATCCCAAAAATAATGAAAGGAACAACATTCTATACCATAATGGTAAGAGCTCAGTCTTACCCATTTTTTATTCCCTGTATCACATAACCCAAAATTAGTACAGAAAAGCCAAAAGATAAGTATTTTTCAGATTGAACAAGGATAACAAAACATTCCAATATCTGATATTGTCAGAATTCTGCATATATGCTTTAGTTCTAAAGCATACTTGAAAAATGATATAACTTTTAAATAGTTAAAATTTTCAATATTATTTGGTATGACTGAACTTATAATACTTGTATCACGTGCACCATTTTACCTGTCTCAAAGTTGAAAAACAGAACCTTTTAAAAAAAGTGACAAAAAAAACAAAAACAAAACAAAATCAGAAACCCAGTTACACTTAACCTGTCTATAATCTTTGCCAAATGACCATTTCACACCATTCTGCGGCAAAAAAAAATGATCATTAAGTATCTTATAATGAAGCAGGCTATTTCTTCCAAAGATAGAAAGTTAAATGCTACTAACTACAAAAGTCTCAAGTTCTCAGAACAAAAAACAGTAAGTTTTAAATGAGTTAAAACGTTAAAGTTTCAAACATTAAGATTTAAATGAAAACTGTGCTGTAACCTTAATTCACCTGGGAATCAAAATTCAGAAGACCCATTTTCCCTTCAAGAAACGTATTACTTCCTCAATAAAAAGAAAATAATAAAGTCACAAGGGGCTTCCAAAAACTAATTCATTTAAGTGAATTCCAATTCATGTATCAAAATAAAATTACAGAATGTGACATGTGACATGACTCTCTAAGTCTCTCACAAATAGATGAAACCTTGTTTTAAAGCAGCAATTTTAAAAGTCCACTATGCTAGTGGACAATGACAGTAAACCCAATAGGCATCAGGGTCTAGCAGATGCTCTAGGGGTGGTATCACATTCTCATGGGAGTTCTTCCAGAAGCCACCTCCTTACTGTAGAAGCAAAACTAAAGAAATATGATCGCTAGTCAGAGTCTCATTTTGGTCATGCTAAAGGAGTGACAAGGAGGAACTAATGGTCTATCTAGGTTATATTTCTTCTCTTGCTATGCTAAACAAAAAATTGATGTTTCTATTACTTTACCTTTTGAGTATCATTACATATCCCTACTTACCTTTCTCTAAGCTCACTGATAAGATCCAGCTTTTTCATGACTACTTGCAGTGGAAAGAGTTCTTCATCTTTAAATGTTTTCTTTCAGGAAGGGGAAAGAATGACAGAGAAGTTGCAAAGTAAGGACAGATTTCTTAGGTCAGTAACAAGTAAAATGTGAAATCGCAGATCTCATTCTCCCTCCATAATAGCAATACACTTACCATTTGTGTGCCAACACTTAGTGCCAAAGAAACAATAAGTCGTCGTTGCCTTGTGCTTGGTCCATTTAGAGTGTTTTCAGCCAAAACTAGAGCAGAGAGCACATCAAGACGCTGTTCGCTATATTTTTTGTCAGAAATTACTCTTTTCTAAAAGATAAAAGGAGAAAAAACAAGAAATAACAGTTTCATTCTTGAATAACAAAAGACTCAGAAGAAAAACTTCAGGGTAATCTTTTCCACGATTCAATTTAAGAGAGCTTAGACAAATGCTTTCCCTGTTCAGCTTTTTCTGATGTTATGTGCTTTACTTCTATAACATTACCATTTAATGCTGTCAAGGACAGCAAATGTATTAAGCACGTTTTTAAATTTCCATATTAGGCTTTTTGAGAGGCAGTTCAAGATAGCAGAGTCCACATTCTAAAATTTCTATATTAATTTAATAAGGAAATTATTTCTTTAAAGAAGAGGTATATTTTAAAACTACACACAATGTCATTTTTTAAAAAAGATTTTATTTATTTACTTGAGAGAGAGAGAGAGAGAGAGCGCAAGCAGGGTAAGCAGTAGAGGGAGAGGGAGAAGGAGACTCCCCGCTGAAGCCCAATGCAGGGCTCGATCCCAGGACCCTGGGATCATGACTTGAGCCGAAGACAGACACTTAACAGACTCAGCCACAAAATGTAGTTTTTTAATAGAGGAGTGTTAATGTATTCCATGCTGCAAGTTCAGAGTTAAGATAACCCTGATCGCTCTAAATAACAATCATAAAATACCATGGAGAAAAAGGACCAAGAATTATTACACTTGAAGGTATGGAGTAAACAGACTAAACTAAAAAAACACATATAAAACAACAGGAGAGCAAACTGAAAAGATAATTATGCTGAATACATAATAAACTTCATACCTTTGCCACAGAAATAGAATTAAGAGCCTGATGTTGAAGGTGCTGTGTTATATGTGAGACTGAATCAGCCACAACCATGCTTCTTCTGTAGAACATATGCTCTATTGCCTAAAAAGAACCACAAGTAATGTTGTGAAAATCAACTTAAAACTTTTAGGCAAATTATAGACTATCTTGAGGACCCTGGGTTAGGTTAGGTAAGGAATTTGTAAATGAGATCCAAAAGCATTGTGATATAGGGTAAGATTGGTAAATTCAACTACATTAAAATTTAAGAATTTCTGTTCATCAAAATCCACTATTAAAAAAATAAAAAAGCAAGCCAAAGTATGAGAAAATATTTGCCATACACAAGGGTTTAGTACTCAGAAAAAAAAAAAAGGAACATTTTTAATGGCAAATAATAGATAAAACTGAACAAAAGAACTCATTTTCACAAAAGAAAAAACACAGTTAATAAACACTTAAAAAAGACACCATCGCCAACAATCAGGGAAATAAACACTACAAATAAAATCATTTACCTCCCACCAAAAAAAGAATAAGAAAGCCAGATAATACCAATGTTGGCCAGTTAGGGAACCATGCGAAGTCTAGTCCATTGGGGAGGTATGTAAACTGACTGACAGAACAATGGTAGGAAACAATTTGGCATCCTCTTGAAAAGCTGAACATGTACAGAATACACAACCCAGCAATCCACCAGTAGACACATTAACACCTCAGAAAAACTCTTGCGCGATTACACCAAGAAACATGCAAGAACAGCAACTTTGTTTATAAGAGCAACACAACTGGGAACCTCTCAAAGGTCCATCCACAGGAAAGCAACACAGCAATGAAAATGAATGAAGGACAGCTATTCATCCCAACATGTTCAAATACAAAATTCTGAGTTTAAAAAAAAAGCAAGTCAAAAATACATGAAGTATTACTTCATTAATATAAACTTCAAGAACATATATAATTAAACAATGAATGGTTTATAGGTTCATCCATATCCGGTAAACTAAAAAAGAAAAACGAGGGAGGGGCGCCTGGGTGGCTCAGTCGTTAAGCGTCTGCCTTCAGCTCAGGTCATGATCCCAGGGTCCTGGGATCGAGTCCCACATCGGGCTCCC